TTTGCAGGGCATGCCTCACATCAGAGTGGGAGGGATGTAAAACACAGAGATGGGCTAACAACTTACCAGAATCACACGCAGACAAGCTGTGCTAAAAGGCACATGCTTCAGGGCAGTGTCTGAACTGAAACCCATTATTTCTTTAAAATACTGTTGGAAACGGGAAGTAAAATTTCACTCTGAATATTCTGAATATCCAGTGCTCCTTGTGGGCTTGTCTGTCTCTGTCAGTGTGGTTTGCCAGGGTGGAACCAGTTCCTCTCTTGGGTTTGTTTCAAGGGCTGATGTGGTTCTGTTTTATTTTATTTAAAAGCAAAAAGATGAACTCATCATAACTAAAGTGTAGAGATTTGACTCTTACTCACAAATGAAAAGCCTAGTGCCTGAATATCATACTGGGTTGTGAGTTGTATTTTGCTACCTAAAGAAAGCAAGGGTTAACCAAAAAGCCAAGAATAAAAATCTCTCAAAACTACCTGGAGGCAAGTCACTGGTTGTAAATGTGTCTTGCTTACATTACTGCATGTAAGCAAGCTTTATAAAGTATTAAAAAAGATTGCATTATAGCAGAAGACATGGTGGCAGCTCTAAGGAACAGAAGGAAACTAGAATTTTGGGGCTGGATGAATGGCTGTTGGAATCCTGAGAATTTTTTTCATCAAGTGAGATAGGAGTGAATCAACCAACCACTACAGAAACAAACTAAATGCCACCACCCCTAGAGCTGAAAAGTAAAATTTTGGTGAGTGCTGTACTGTGAGTTACCAGAGCAAAAAGATACTTCAGAACTGTTTTTATAGGATCACTTGAGAACATCTTTGAACGTCAAAGAGAATATTTCCTCAGGAAAAATGTGATTGTGGACACCGCTGATGTTTGCCAGAGGGCTGTGGGTAATAACAATCTGTTTTCTGAGATTTGAGTCCAGTTGATGATGTCCTCGATAGCAAAGAGCAAAGTTTGAGCTGTCACATGAGGCATATTTATTTTTGCTTTGCTTCCCCTTCCCCAGCCACAACATAATAGTGAGTAATGTGGTGCTGGACACGTGTTCTGCACAGTCATATTTTAATGAACAAGCAGAAACTGTACAAAGTTAACTCTTCAATCCTAAATATTTCTTGTATCTTGAAGAACTCCTGTAGGTAGCAACTTTGAAACTTCTTTGACTACTTTTATTTTTTCCCACCAGCACTTTAAGAACATTATAGCTGTTTGATTTGTTTTTTGGGGTTTTTTTTAACCCTTTATTTAAAATAGCACATTAGGAAAGGACTGTATCTAGCTGAGAGTTGCTGTAGCTCTGCAACCGTGGAACATTATGCAATGAGATGAGGAGGGAGGGCACGTACTTCACGATGAACCCAAGGCTTGTACAAATCCAAGAGGGCAGGTGGGGAGCAGGGGCCCAGCTGTGGCCAGGCTGTGACTGGGACACCAGGAGCGGGATGCAGAAATGCTTCAGGCTCATGGGACTGGAGAGAGAGCAGGTGGGGTCCTGCTGTGTCACAGCCAGGATAAGGCCTCGTCCCAAAGCAGAAAAACACGTTCTTTGTGTCCCAGAGGTGACAGAGACACACTGCTCTCTTACAGGGGGAGGATGCTGTGTGAAACAAAAATCCACTGGGGCAGGAATGGAGGAGTGGGGAAAGTTGGATGGGGGTGGTTACACCTCCAGTGTTTACAGTAGGTTTGAAAATTTGCTCATTTACTCATGTGTGAGTGCCTGGAGAGCAACTGCTCTGTTTCCAACCTTGCCATTTCTGCTCCCACATGTGCCTGGGGGCCTCTCCAGCCCCTTGCTACCACAGTGCTTTTGCATCCTTCCAGGCCTCCCCGAGCAGAGTCCCACCTGCTGTCAAATGAGCTGCAGGCCTTTCTCTCCTGCTATGTCCTTTGAGTGGTGGTTGGAGTAAATTGTAACATGCTTGGCTGAGGAAAACATTTGGGGTGGGGTTTGTTTGTGAGGTGACAGCTGGTCACAGGCTGGTGGCTGCCTTTCCAGGTGGTCAGGTGCTACCCAAGCTCTGGCTGCACAAAATGCCTTGAGAATAGTGGCTACCAAGTCATGGCTGGCAGCACAGGCTCTGGCTGGTGCTGCTGCCTGCCCTGAGTTGGTGTTGCCTGGCAAAAGCTCTGTGTGCTGAGCTGCTGTCTCTGGGAGGCCAACTAACCTTGAATTGCTCCTTGTCCTTTGCAGAGGTGGTCAGGATATACATGACACAGCTGAACCACGACAGTTCATGGGACATACCCTTCATCTGGCACTGCATTAGAGTCCCTTAACCATGCAACAGCCACCCAGCAACAGCTTCCCACCAGGCTTGGGTAGTCTTTCTGCTGAAGAGAGGTAGAGAGAAGGAGACTGAAAGCTGCTGCAGGTTTCATGGACAGGACGTCTACTTGTCAGTCTCCTAAAAATGGTGTCACTTCAGCACACACCCATATCCACATGTGAAAACATGCTGAGGCCTGGCTCAACCCAGCCTGTAACAATTCATAGCTGGGTGAGGAGGCTTGCCCAACAGCAGAAGCCTCCCTCCCTCTCCTCTTCCTGAAGAAGTTAAGGCAGTGTTTCCCTCCGTATTTGCTGCAGGGTGTGCATGGACTGGCTGCAGCCTCTGTATGGTTCAGTTTGTGCACAGCTGAGGATGCGAGGCATTGTTTAGGGTGGGAGTACTGCAGAATTGGTTTGGAGAAGATAACGTTTCTGGAGCCTGTGCAGGGATTAAAAGGAATGTGGCATTAAGGCAACAACTTTTCAGTGTTTTCCTTCAAACTGAGGGCTCCCCATTCCTTCAGGGGATGCTTGTGTTTAACACTTGTGTCCGTAACACCTTGCAAACAGCTCCAAAGTCATGGCATTGCTTACCACTTGGGATGTGTGTCTGCTTCAGCAACATGGCATTTCATGGCCCAGGCCTAAGCCCAAATGTCAGCAGTGAGACCTCTTGGAAGAGTTGTCTTAACTCTGCCATATTGCCTGGGAAATGCTGCCTGATAGCTTGGATAGGCTTTTGCAGTGCACAAAATACCTCCTATTTCTTCTCATGGGATGCTTTTCTGGCATTCTAAATCTCTTCTAGGTACATTCAAAGTTAATTAAGTCTGAGTTTTCACTTGTGCTGTTTGCAGGGCTGATAATCCTCTCCCCCACAGTGTGGCTTGGAGAGGATTCAGCAATTAGGTTTGGCAGGGCAGAGCTTCCTTGTACCTGTCCCTGTGTCATGGCACCTGCCCAGCTCCTGCCTGAAGTCCCCCAGTCTCTGATGCCTGTGACAGGAGACTTATCCCCCATCCTCATGGTCTGCATGGTGGCAGTGATGAGAGCTGCCCACGCCCAACCTTGCAGGGAGAGGAAGAAATGCCCAGCTGGAAGTCAGCTGATGGTAAGAGAGGGTGTGAGCACCTCTGGGATATACCAGGGCAAGAGCAAGCAGGTGGACCTTAATTACCTTCAGCTGCAATTTCAATTTGACCTGAAGTGCTCCTGGGGTTGTTAGGTGGAAACCCAAGGCTGTTTATGTGGGAAGGGGTTCCTGAAGGTGGTCTGGTCCAGCTCTCCTGCCCTTTAACAAGGTCACCCAAATCTGGTTGCCTAAGACCATGTCCATTTGGGATTTAAGTATCTTCAAGGATGGACCCTCCACAACCTCTGCAGAAAACCACTTCCCATGTTCAGCCACCCTAGCTGAATGAAAATTTTTTCTCTTCTTTAAATTAAATTTCCCATGTGGGTACTGCTAAATGTAAATCAAAGGAACAACCCAAAGGATTCTTAGCAGCACAGCCTGGGGAACACAGCAGATTTAAGACCAGAGTCCCTTACTTGCAGCTATCCATAATCCTGGCACCTGATACAGGTGCCATCCTCTCTGAAGCCCTGGGGTGTTGGCTTATCCTCAGGATGACTCTTCCCTTTGGTTATGTTTCTGTTTGCCATCTGCCAGAGGAGCCCAGATCTGTGCCATGTCCTTGCGGAGCCGCAGTACCCGGAGCAGCCTGTGCCCAGCCCTGTGACACACCAGGGAGATTTGCTTGCTGTTGGTGCTGCAGCCAGGCCCTGTGCCACCCTGCGCAGGCTGCACTGGCAGCTGCAGGAGGGCACCTTCCACCTGAGTCGCTTGCACTTCAGTTTTGTGCCTGCCTGCAAACACAACACTTTCCCAGCAAATCAAAAACTGCTTATGGATCAGTGGTAGCACACCCACTCAGGGGATCCTTTGGGAAGAAAGCAGATCATTACTGGGATGCTCCAGGGAAGAGACCAGTGTCAGTGGGAAAACAAAGGAAGGGCAGCAAAACAGTGGGGAGAAAGTGGGGTAAGAGCAGAGGGGCCCTATGACCATTCCTGCCATTGTAAATTGCTTACTGAGGCCACAAGAAGAATTAAAACCTCCAACTAAACCATAATATAGCTCATATCCTGAGCCAGGCCTTCATTGAGCTCTAGCCCACATCTTGCCCCAGACATTTTATGCCACTAGTGACAGCTCTCTGAAGAGAAGGTACTTGCAATAAATACAAAAATTATGATCCAAAGATTGACATCAGTTAAAGAAAAATAAAGCAATCTCTGCTTTTAAGCAATGGTGAAGCCAAATACTTGACTTGTTGGGTTTTGCCCCTTCAAAAATTCTTTGTTATACAGTTTAGGAAATGTCACGTCCAAGACATACTAAGGCAAAAGAGCACGTGAAATTATGTAAATGAAAGGTGATGGATGGAACAGAGACAGAGTGAGCTATCGAGGCCAAGCTGCTGCACCTGCTTAGGAATTTAATCTAGTCTTAAAGCAGCCTGGCCTGGCAGAAGCTAAAAGGAAACAGGAATTAAGGCCATGGCCACATCCCATTTAAGCTTTCTCACCTATCGTATACTACCCTTCCCTGGGCCTGTTACACCCCTCTGGCTCCCTGGCTTTTTATAAACCCCTCTGACTTCCTAAAACTCTGTTCTCCATGTCTTGCAGAGCTGTGTTGATGCCAAATGGTGACAGAAAATGAGCTTTGTCACTGCAACGAATGCAAGCAGTGCGGTATGTGTAACCCACAAAAGGATGCCTTTGGGCTTACTCCTGAGCCCTGAAGTGGAAAAACGAGATACCCTCTCATCTTCCCAGTCCTTGCAACAGTGCTAAAGAATCACTCACGGAATCTAGTTAGCTGTGAATTTACTTTTCATTTCCCAGCAAGGTGCAGATATTTCCCCCCCACCAGCACTATCCCTCCTCCTTTAGCTTGTGTGTGGCCCAGTCAGGGTTGCTGCTGGTCCACGTTCAGTCTGGAGTTCAGGGTAGGTGAAATACGAGCCTGCAGTCCTGCACTCTCTGTTCTCCCTCCGCACACGTTAGAGGACGCAATAAGAATTCCTTACGTGCAAGGAGTGCCACCTAATGGCCTGTTGAAGGATCCCAAAGCTCCACACAAAGCTTCTGGGGTCTTAACTTTTTTTTTCCATACGCATTAGTCTATGAAATCACACACACACATATTTTCACATGTACTGAAATGCAAGTCTCTTTCATGGCCTGTCTGCCCACAAACCACACTTCAAGGGTAATTTTTGTGCAGAGTCTTTACATTCATATTTTAAAAAATAGTTTCTTAAATCCCAAGGCTTCAAGAGAGCAGTAGTAATCTAGATGCAAATAAGAACTTGGGTATTTCATTTTGGAGTGTAAGACTGATGAATGCTGGCTCTGTTAGGGAGCAGCTGCTGGAGCCCAGCAGTTGCACTGCTGCCATCATCAGGCTGCAACAAAGATGCTCACAGGGGTATGTGGGCAGGTGTAACCTCACGAGGTCACCAGGTCCAACCTTTTAGTGTTTAAGGTGACAGGATTCAACAAAAGGCACAGACATGGTATTCTAGGATGACCAGACCCAGCAGTGCTGAGGCAAACTGCTGTGGTGACAGTTTGATAACATTCTCCAGCCAGAGTAGTCTGCACCATACCACCATCACCATGGATTGCTCCACCCCCTTGGAAGAGACGTCCATCGGTCTTTTTTCTCAGAAACTTCTTGTTGATTCCTTCTTGCTATTAACCCTTCAGTAAAGTGTGTCTTGCTTTACTTGAAGAGATGCTATGTGCATGGAAAATGCAGGAGAACTGAGGGGCTCCAGAAGAACACATGAGAAAGAAAATCCTCACAAGCCATTTAGTCTATTGCATGTCCTCCTGCTGCACCAAGGGAATTTGGAAGCTTGAACAGCTACTTTGCACCTCAGGAATTATTCATTTCTTGTCCAGTTATGTCAAAGCCCTCTCTAGCCTTTAATTTTGTACTAGATTATTACCTGATGACCTTCATTACATTGGCCCAGAGGCAGGTAGCACAGCCTGTTCCAAATGAGCAATATTCCTCTGGTTGTTCGCTTGGAAAATGTTCCTAGAAAGGGGGCTCAGGTACCTGGGTCCCGATTCAACACTGTGAACAGCAGGGCCTGCCCTGCCTGAGGTGCCTGCTTCCACCCAGATGTAAATAGCCTCCTCATCAGCTTATGCACAGGCATTAGGGTTGACGTGGCTGTGAGAATACACTTCTCCCATGTGACCCAGATATGCCAGGTGAAAACAAATAGAGGTTGGACTAAAGGAGACATGAACGCACACTATTGCTGCTAAAATATGTTCTAAACCAGACTATTTATATTGCATATCTTCTTGCAAGATACTAATACATTTTAGTAGCCCTGAGAAAAAATTCTTCCCACTGCTTCATCAGAACTCAAATATTATGAAAACTTCCTAGGTAACATTTCCATAAAGTAAAAAATACTTGCTAATATTCAACCTTCAAGATTTCTTGCCTGATAACCAGTTTCAAGGCAACTGAAGAGCAGCCTCTTCTGATAAAAATGAAAGGGCCAAGTAAACTCCATTTGGCAGTTTTAACCTCTGGAACTCCTCTCTGAATTATCCAGAGCAATCCTAGTAGGTCACCACAAAATGAGAAGGCTTTTTCCTTTAGTTTGCAGAACCTTCTATTGACAAAAGGCACACATACGTCTGACTCTCCTTCACAGCTGCTTTGCCTCAGGAATAGAGCCTATTAACTTGTTTCTCAAGTTTCCATTCAGGCAACTTAGGCTGCATTTCAGTGAAGTGGGTTTGTTCAAGGCTCAACACTGACAGTGTGTGTTGTTCCAGGCAGTATCTAAACTCACTCAAGGACAAAGCTGATAGAGAGGATGGAATTTCTCATCTTTGACCCAAATTGAGCAGCGTATTTAAAAAACATACTGGTAGTCATTGTTATCCTTGTGGGCAGGACACTGTACTCAAGCACAACATTTCACAGAAACAGCATTTGTAGTAACATACTCAAAATGAAGGTGGCCATGACCCATTAAAACAGCCTGCAATCAATAGCAACTGCAAAGCCTTCCTCTCTGAATAAAAGAGATCCTAGTCTTAGAATACTTCCTTGTAAAAACACATGACAGAGGTGCTATTTTTCCATAGCTAATCCAGAATTGCTCAATTGTTTGGACAATGATCTATTTTAGGATGTGTATACGAGGGACAGACTTGCCTACAGCTTAAGCTCCCCCCTCCCTCAACAGGCTACACTATTCACTAAATTCTTCATTTGTTTTCTGTCATTCAAATTCAGAAGTAAAAGAAGACATCGGGAAAAATCCACACATTTAGCAATACCCACAATCCTCCTCCTTTACTCACATCTGTCACAATAGGAAAGTCAAATGAGGAAACTGCAGAGAGCAATTTTAATGGAAATATCTCTCAAAAATGCTTCATAATGTGAGAGATGCTTTGTGGTGCAACTCTCACCCTCATCTTAAAAACATAAGATAATACAAATATTTATTGGTAGTCCTGTCCTTGAAAATGTCAAGTATCACTGGAAGCACTGACAGATGGCTGCAGCTTTAAGAAGGAAGTATAGAAAATTAACATGGCAAAGCAAGATTTACTATCAGTATTCATAAAATTTTTCACAGAAGTGCAAAAATAGTGAAACTGTTTTGAAAACAGGATGGAGAAAGCAGCAGCTGATGCAATCTGTATTCAATAGCACCTGTTTTTACAGGGACATTTAAGAAGGAAAAATGTTAATACAGAAAGGCTCTAATAAACAAGACTGTTATATACAGGTGAACCCACTGGTAAGGACACAAAATGGCCAGGCTTAGTGGAAATTTAAACTTCAGTAACAATTTATTCAGAGTATGCAAGAACAAAGTAATTTACATTAAACTTTTGTAGTGTCAATATTTTTTAAAATATGAAGCATTTAAAGTGAGTTAAGAGAGCAGCAGTAACACTGTAAACATGTACAGCCATTTAAAATTACAGTAAGAAGATATAAAACTATTTTGTTTAAAAGCTATTAATATAAAACGATTTTTATGTTTAAGCAAACATACAATCAGTTTTAGTGATTGTAAGGAATTACTGTTTAATGCTTAACCCATTAAATACCTTAGTGCACCAAGAGAACGTTTCAGGCAGCTCACATAAGAAACACATATGCCTGCCTGGCTTCCAGGCTTCCCATAACTTCTCATGGCACAGCGGCTTTAGTACTCAACTGACTGGCCTGCTAACCATGAACCTGGCTGGCTTCCAGAAGAAGCAAAATAAAGACTGGCAGGTAATGTCACTTTAATCCTAATTTGTCCTGTAGAGCACTTGAAGGAAGTTCAACTGGGAAATCATGAAAGCTTTTATGACATGTCCAGGAACAGTCTTTACCAGTATTCCTAGCAGCATTCCACACAATTTTTACTTATTAGTGTGAGGATATGGAGGTCAGCTACATTTTAAATTTCATTTCAGAACAGGCACATGGAGTTTAACCACAGCTAAGCAAACCCTGAGCAAAAATTACCTTTCAAACAATGTTTCCAGCCCTGGTCTATCTTTTTAAGAAACTTTCTGCTGCTGTTCTACGAAAGACAAGAATCAAGATGCTCATTTATTTCAGATTCCAAAACATCAGTCTCACAGACAGGACAACTGACTCTTCTCTCCTGTCTCACAGGATTGCTAGGACTTGCAGAGGACTGTGTAAATTCAACTCTGGTTTTTGTGGTTGTAGTGACATCAGTAACCCCCTTTTTATGAAAATACTTTTCAAAGGCAGTTTTGTCTTCCTTCTTTGGCCATTGCTGCAGTGTATTAACACATTCTAAGCTTTTTTTCTCAGATGCACCCTGAGCTCTTGGGGTCTGCTCCAAACAAATTCGTTTTGGTGACCAGTTAGAAGATGGCATAGCCCTCTTGCCAACTGGTGAGCCTTGGCTTGATGTTTCTTCAGCAACTCGAGCCATCCAAGCAGGCAATCTGCACTCGTTCTCGTCACCTTCTGTATTAGCAGCAGAGAGTTTCGGAAACTCACGCTTTAAAGCTAAGTTGCTCTTCTCACTGGCACCATTGGTATGAAGCGGAAAGATGCTGCCATGGGGTAATTTTTCCAGTTTTATCTCATTTTTAGGAATTGGTATTGTCCTTACTGCTGAAGGATGAAGTGAGCCGTGTGCTTCACTGTTTGCAGTGGAATTGCTGGCATTTGTGTTTTTCTCTGAAAGCACATCATCTCCTCCTCCAAGCCGATATCCCATCCCGCTAAAAGGAGTCAGGTCTTTGCAATTACCATGCATTTGTGTCTTGCCTGCAAAAGCAGATTAAAAAATAAGCTAATAATTTTTTTAATTAAAAAATCATGGGCTTGAGTTGCTTCACACAAAAAAATCTGCTGCTTGAAAATAATGCATCAAACTAAACTTTTTGCAGACAATTCAGCTGAGGGGCAGCCTAGAAGTGCACAAACAAATAGGTCCTGTTCTTTGGCTATGTAACAGTAACACCTAAACCAAGCTGATGTAGTATTTGGTCCATATTCGTTCAAGAAAACATCCAGACAAAAATCAGTTTGGAAAAGAAAAAAAATAAATCATAAAATACCTTTGTTAGTTGACTTGAAATGTGGAGGTTTTGCTGTCTGAGTTTTCTGCTTGGACTTCTCTGAGAATTTGTCTGGCTCCTTCACTTTTGTGAATGTGCCCCCACATGTCCTTTGATGTTCATCCCACCAGAAGTCATGTGCAGAGGGTGCTCTGTTCATGGAGCGCTTCACATATCCAAAGTAAGGTGCTCTGCTTTGGCAGGGGCCATTGCATCGCCACCAGTGCTGGCGGTACAAATTAATCTCATCATAAAAATTGTGATAGATCTATGTTTAAAAAAACAAACAAAAAAACCCACAAAAAAAACCAGTCATTCAGGAAGTTACAAATTTTATATCATCTATAATATTTTTTAAATAATCTATTTCCATTCAATTCCTTACACTACTGCTGTGATTTTTATATTAGCAGTAAAAAGAGCTGGACCTGTGTGAAATTTGATCAACATTTAGCTACCACTAAAACAAAACCTTAAAAAAAAAAGATAGGATGTGTAGGAATATGTCCTGGTTATCTTGTTGGAACTGCAATAAAATCACTTTGGAAATCTATCTACAGTTTCACCTAGAATATGAACTGTTTAGAATGCATTGCAAACAATACCAGTATTGTATTCTCCTTTCAGCTATTACCTTAATTGATCTTATTAGACACATTATTTTTAAATATTGACATAAATATCATTACCCTCTATTGACATAAATGTTCACTGCTCTTCACATGGAGCATTTCTGTCCCTGCTACCATTTAAGCTCTTTCTAGTTTACCAAAAAGGCTTAAAGACAATTTCTTACAGAGAACATACCTGAAAATTACATCACTAATAGCTCGCCACAGCTTCCCCAACCTGTTCCCACCACCATCCCCAGCAAATAACTGGCACTGGCACACACTTGGATGCAAATTTGTATCGGTACCAACTGTGGAGTGTCTAATAAGAACATTACTTATTCTGCACCAGTCAACTAAAACAGCAAACCAGGAAGAAAGCTCTGTTAAATCAGGCGAAGAGGATTATTCTTACTGTGACATTGGCTCCAGTCAAGAGATTAATGCGACGCATGTGCTTGCAGAACTCCGGTCCATGAGACTCACGATCTTTGTAGTTATGAGTAACAAAGAGCAGGGCATGGATCATTTCGTGCAACAGTGTCTGAAATTATGCAACCATTAGATAGTCATTGAAAAGCACTGCATTTTCAGTTTCATGATTAAGCTGCAAGTATTTCACTCTTCTACACAGATTGTGGTTACTGATCTTATCCTTGATTATATTCACATATTCGGTCTGGGTCATAAAAATGTAATTGATCTATCAAACCAAATTACCCCTATTTCTTGAATATCACTAAAACATGCTGCATAATATCACTCCAATAAGCAGCATTCCAAAAAGAAGAAATAACCTTCAAACTTAAATCACATCTTTAAAGATATCATCCCCTATACGCCCCCAAAAAAGAGCCACTTTTGAGCAAGCTGAAAGCCTACAGCACTTCTGTTCTTAGGCAAATTTGAATGTTCAGCCAGCTCAAAGCAGCAGCTCTGGCAGAGGCCCAAGGAGCAACAAAATGTCATGTTAAGTCATATCCTATATCCTTATTTTCTGCTGTTGGCCCTTTAGAAACTACAGTCCACGTTTGCTTTGAATATTAAAGGATAATTTAGGAGTTAAAAACTTGGGGTGTTTTTTTCCTCTATATAAAGTCAATAAAATAAACGAGTGACTTTAGACTTCCACTTGCAGTTGCCCACTTAGAAGCATAAAACTAAAGATTACCATGGCACTGTAACACAAGCTACATGAACATAACAGTAAAGCCACCACTATTTCATGACCTGCAAGTTACTGCATAAAAGAATCCCACTATGAAATCTAAAATGTTTGTATGAAGTGGGGGGTGGGCACAATACACTTTATGTGCAGATTCTTAAGCCATGCCCAAATACCTCCACAAGATCCTTCCTTGGCCGTAACTTTAGAAGCGGCTCACTGAGACGAATGGAACACAGCCCACTTCTTTCATGATATGAACAGATACCAGCAGAGCTGAAAGGAAAAGGAGAAAGAAAATATGAAAATCTATTTGTTTCTGCAGCACATGAAGAAAATGGAGAATTTAAGTTAAAATGCCAACCCCTGTAAACACATGCTAGGTCACACAGAACATGGAATAAAATCACTTTGAGTAGTTACTTGAAACGCTCAGCATCATTAAGCAAAGGAAAAAAAAAAACCCACAAGTTCCTTAAAGTAGAAAAATCTGTTTTGAAGGCAGAAGAACATTTCCTTTAGGACTTGCGATGGACTGAAATACACTACACGGAGGCTGGAGATTCACGGCAGCAAACGCTGACTTAATTGCAGGTTGTTTCAATTTCCCTCCCTTCATCAACTTTTGGCTCATAGCAAACCTACATATACCTCCACTTCTGTGCACTAATCCAGCAAACACCACGGTTTTTGTCTGTGTTAGTCCTACTGAGTTAGTCCCTATCAGTGCAATATGCAACTATTTCCAAATGCCTAAAGAATACCGCAGCCAGCAGAGGCAGTGGGACTCCAGCCGCCAGCAACTGCATCTGCTGCAGAACTGCAGACTTCAGAACTGCACTTCAAAGATTCCTGGGTTTGTTTAACCTCAGATCTCTTCTGTATTCCCCTTCCTAGCCCATTCTACATTTTTCTAATATACTATTATTGGTTCATATTTGCCTATCTGCCGTGCAGTAAAACTATCATAAAGACTGAGAACCAGAGCAGCAACAGAGTACGTGAGGTTTCCACACAAACCACCTAAGACAAAGTAATTTTTTCCATTTCAACATCCCTCCGGCTTGCCCGCACCCCGGGGAAAGCCACTGATGGCTGCTAGGGACGACAGAAGCAAGACAAGCGAGACAACGACAGCGACCAACTCATGTCCCGCCGAACGAACCCTGCCGGAGATGCGGAACATCCAAGTGCCCGGGAAGAGAAGCCACGGCAGCAGCACGGCGCTATGGGGGCACAGCGAGGAGCAGCACAGAGTGACAAGTGACAGCTCCTCCCCGACACTCGCAGCCCCACGCTGCGGCTTCACGGGTGCCGGCCCTTCCCGCCGCCCGCTGCCGGGGCGGAGGCACGGCGGGCAGCTCCCGAAACACAAGGATCGGGCAGCTCCCGAAACACAAGGATCGGGCAGCTCCCGAAACACAAGGATCGGCCTGCCCGCCCTTGCGACCGCCCCACGCTCCCCGGGAGCTCGGCCGCGCTTGGCCCCACACCCCCCGGTGCCGCACCTGGTCATGCGGGGGCTCCAGGACACCGTGACAGCCTCCAGTTTGCCCCAGAAGAGCGTCTGGTTGAAGTGCACGAACAGGCCATGAACGTCAGGGCTGGGGTCCAGCAGCTCCCACGCCTCGTCCACCACAGACAGCGGGCGGAGGGATGAGCGGTACGGAGAGACATCAGGGCGCTTTGCTGCTGCCGCCGCCTTGTCCTGCTCTTCCCACTCCCTCTGCAGCCTGAGCGCTAACAAGAAATCCTCGTCCTCCATCCCGAGCGCGGCTCCCGTCGGCCGGCAGAGCTGCAATCGGAAGCCGCAGCCACCGCGGCGCACGCGCAGCACCGACCCGCGGGCTGCGGCTGCCGCGTCCTTCCGAGTGCGCGCGCCGCCAGCGTCCCCTTCGCCACTTCCCTTCTTCCCGTCCTTCCCTTCCTTTCCTTCCCTCCGCCCTCGCCCGGCCCGGCGCGGCCCCATCGCGTCACCGCGGGCAGCCCCTCCTGCCGCCGAGCCGCGGGGCGCAGGCGCGGCGCGGTGTCCTGTCTGGTGGCGGCCGGGCGGGTACCGGGCGGCGGCTGCGGCGCGGACATGGCACTGTCGCTGGGCGAGGGCGGCGGCGGGAGCCGGCTGCGGCGGCAGCTGGAGTCGGGCGGCTTCGCGGCGGGGGAGTACGTGAAGCAGCTGTCGCAGCAGTCGGACGGGGACCGGGACTTGCAGGAGCACCGGCAGCGCATCCAGGCGCTGAGCGAGGAGACGGCGCAGAGCCTGAAGCGCAACGTCTACCAAAACTACCGGCAGTTCATCGAGACGGCGCGGGAGATCAGCTACCTGGAGAGCGAGATGTACCAGCTCAGCCACATCCTCACCGAGCAGAAGGGCATCATGGAGGCCGTCACCCAGGCCCTGCTCCTCCAGGCCGACCGCGACGACCCCGCGCTGGGCGCCCGCCGCGCCGCCGCCGCCGACCCCTTCCTGCCGCTGTCGGCCAAGGATGCGGCGGCCAACGAGGAGGGGCGGCAGCGCACTCTCACCACCCTCCTGGAGAAGGTGGAGGGCTGCCGCGACCTCCTGCCCGAGAGCCCTGGCAAGTACCTGGTCTACAACGGCGACCTGGTGGAGTACGACGCCGACCACATGGCGCAGATCCAGCGGGTGCACGCCTTCCTCATGAACGACTGCCTGCTCGTGGCCACCGCCCTGCCCAACCGCCGCGGCGCCTACCGCTACGATGCCCTGTACCCCCTCGACGGGCTGGCCGTGGTCAACGTCAAGGACAACCCGCCTATGAAGGACATGTTCAAGCTGCTCATGTTCCCCGAGAGCCGCATCTTCCAGGCTGAGAACGCCAAGATCAAGAAGGAGTGGCTGGAGGTGCTGGAGGAGACCAAGCGCAACCGTGCCCTCAGCGAGAAGCGACGCCTGGAGCAGGAGGCCCTGCCCCGGCCCGCCCCAACGCCCCCCGAATCCACCAACCCCTTCGACGAGGACGAGGAGGAGGAGGATGAGCCTTCCGCTGAGGAGGAGGTCGTTGACCTGTCACTTGAGTGGATCCAGGAACTGCCCGAGGACCTCGACGTCTGCATTGCTCAGCGGGACTTCGAGGGGGCGGTGGACCTCTTGGATAAACTGAACGAGTACCTGGCGGACAAGCCTGTGAGCCAGCCCGTGAAGGAGCTGCGGGCCAAGGTGGACGAGCGCGTCCGGCAGCTCACAGATGTGCTGGTGTTCGAGCTGTCTCCAGACCGCTCGCTGCGAGGAGGGCCGCGGGCCACCCGCCGAGCCGTGTCCCAGCTCATTCGCCTGGGCCAGTCCACCAAGGCCTGCGAGCTGTTCCTGAAGAACCGGGCAGCCGCGGTGCAGACCGCCATCCGGCAGCTGCGCATCGAGGGCGCCACGCTGCTCTACATCCACAAGCTCTGCCATGTCTTCTTCACCAGCCTCCTGGAGACGGCCAGGGAGTTTGAGACGGACTTCGCCGGCAACAGCGGCTGCTACTCGGCCTTTGTTGTCTGGGCCCGCTCGTCCATGAGGATGTTTGTAGATGCCTTCAGTAAGCAAGTATTTGATAGCAAAGAGAGTTTGTCAACTGCGGCAGAGTGTGTCAAGGTAGGAGAGTCCAAACGCGGGAGTGGTGGGGCACAGCAACAAAGGCTTCAAAGCTTTAAAGTATCTTTTCTAACTCTAGTTTAGTTGTTGACTCTTGTGTGGGTCTCCAGAGAGGTTTTCTGCATTGAAAGATTAATATTCATTTGAGGTTTGTTTCGTTTTTTTCAGTTTAACAGAGGAAAGCCTTAAGTTTATAATGCGTGTCAAGGAAAACCCTGCCTTTATCAGGAATGCAAAATGTGTTGATTCTCAATTTGCCTTTAACTAGTAGAAGGTCCTAAAATTTACATGAGCTACACCTGAATTGCAAGTACTTCAAAACTTTCTCTTTGTTTTCCAAGGCTGTCCTTAGCTATATTTTCGTACTTTTTTTGCAAGACTAACTTTCTCAGGTTATGCTTTGTTTCAGTTGCTAATTGGGAGGAGGGGGAAAAAAAGCTTATGTGTGTAATTGTAGAGAGTATTTTTGACAGCCAGAGTGTATCTTTCAGTTACTAATTTCTCATTAATGAGATTCTTAAAGCACGAGAAATAAGTATGAGTAACCCTTCTCAGTTTTCTGAGATAAATTTGATGAATGTGTAAAATGTAAAGGGAGCCTGCACAGTAATACCATCCTTTGCTTTTCTTTGTTATCCCAGGTGGCTAAAGAGCACTGCAAGCAGCTGAGCGAGATTGGACTGGATCTCACCTTCATCATTCACGCCCTCCTGGTAAAGGATATCAAAGGTGCTTTGCAGAGCTACAAGGACATCATCATCGAGGCCACCAAGCACCGCAACTCTGAGGAGATGTGGAGAAAGATGAACCTGATGACTCCAGAGGCGCTGGGGAAGCTCAGGGAGGAGATGAGGAGCTGTGGGGTGGGCAATTTTGACCAATACACAGGTGATGACTGCTGGGTCAACCTCAGTTACACTGTAGTAGCTTTCACTAAGCAGACTATGGCCTTCTTGGAGGAAGCATTAAAGCTTTACTTTCCAGAGCTACATATGGTTCTCCTGGAGAGTCTTGTGGAAATCATCCTGGTGGCTGTCCAGCATGTCGATTACAGTTTACGGTGTGAACAGGACCCTGAGAAAAAAGCATTCATTAGGCAGAACGCCTCTTTCCTGTATGAAACTGTCCTTCCTGTTGTGGAAAAAAGGTTTGAGGAAGGAGTTGGAAAGCCAGCCAAGCAGCTGCAGGATCTGAGAAATGCCTCAAGATTGATGCGTGTAAATCCGGAAAGTACCACCTCTGTGGTGTGAAGTGAACCTAACTGTTCCCGGGAACAAGGTGGCAGCACTTACTGAAGATGTACATTGAACAGATGAACTAAACAGGGTTTTGTTGAGTCCCTGAAAGATGCAGAACTCTTGTCTGCTGCATTCCAGAACATGAAGACTTTGACTCAATCCCAGCAAGCATGCAATGCTTTACTTGGTGGATGGGGTGTAGGGAAATGAGGAGGTGGAGGTCACGTGTCCTTGGACAGCATATCCTGTACGAAGGGCTTGTGTAGTCTTTGTGACTTGGGAAATAACTGTAATACACAAATTTTGGCCAATTGTTTGTGCAAGTCTTGAATACATGTACAGCAGATGGCAGGAAAAGATCAAGTCTCATGGAGTCACTGTAGCAGTTCTTTTTTAAGGCAGTGTTCTGGTAGGAGGGGAAATGCAGAACCATTCCCAGGGTGTGGTATTCAGGAAGGCACATCCACCACCCAGATGTGACTCAGCACTGTAGATAAATGACATGGATTTGCACAATGTGATTTTTGTGGTAGCAATGCAGACTTTTCTTTAACATTGAGATTATTCATTTCAGAGGCAGATTGAAATAAAAATGGTTTTAGTATAGGTTCTGGTATTTGGGTGAAGGGGCTTCTTCGGTTAAATAAGCTGGCCTGTCAGCCTAAGTTATAGCTGTCTGAAAACAAACCTGCTGTCAGAACCATTTGTTCACTTCAAGAGAAGTGAGAATAAATTGCTTCCCTTCCTCTTTGTGTTCCTCTTCCATGTTTTCTCATAGATCTAATTGGGGTCGTGTCCATTTAGTGAAGTGTGCACTGTTGCTTGAGGTGTTGTCACAAATGCATTATGGGCTGTTGTCTCCTGGTTGGGGAACCATAGTGCAGAGGCATAAATGCTCTTGAGACATGCAGGGCAGGGAGAGGGACTGAAGGGACTGTTTCATTTGGAAGAAATGGAATGCTAGTTTTGCTGTACAGAACCAACACCCGGTGAAGAGACTGTGAGGCTTTTTGTAAGAGATGTGAACTTTGAAATATACACTGTCTCCTGCAAGAACTAGCATCATTTCCTGTAATACAGCAATAAGCAAGAAGAACTATCTTTTTTGCAGAAATCACAAGGATTTGGTTGGTGATTTTAATGTTGATGGGGAAAGTTTATGCAAATGCTCTTAGTGTTTGGATTGAATGGTGTTGGCTGTCTCATGCAGTGTATGTCTGTGAAAATAAAGTAAGCCAAGTCTTGTGTCAAGGATGGCTTTGGAAAGCTGTCAGCTTCAACTTTTAAGCTGCACAAACTTCTGCTTCTCTGCAAACAGTTGTGAGAAAATCATGTTACAGCTAAGGGACCTTGTGATCAGTCCCTCAGAAAGCGTCCTTCACTGGAATAATTAAATATCCTATTCCTATAGCACTTTCAAATTAAAGCTCTTGCAGTTTGTACCATGGTAATGAATGCCTTGGCAAACAAAAGGTATCACTAGTAAAACATTCTGTGTAACTGTTATACCGAAGCTTCTTAATTTCTCCCCATTTTCATAGTGCTAGTTCAATGCAGTTTCCACTTGAGTGCTGGGTTTTGTTCTCTTGCTCTTTGGGTGCCTTTTGAACTGTCAGATTTTGCAAAGCATCCTCTTGTCTCTGCTCACTTGCTTTTCAGTGTTTGGGCCTTTTGCTAGAAACTCACAAAAAAGTCATACAGAATGTTTTTAAAGGGTAACTTGCTCCCATCTTGCATTGATTGAAAACTGGTGAAATAGCTCTACGTTTATTTTAAGGGACAGGGACAGTGAGTTAGAACTTGTGTAACATTTCTGTCAAAGAGAGAGAAAGTCCTATTGGTGTTATTTCAGTAGTGAACTGTTTTTGATATCAGAATCTAGTGAAATATAGCAAAGTAATACAATCTCTGTCATCTGTTGAAAGTGGAAAACCTAATCTGAGAAATACTTTCAAGTGAATGATAAGAGAGCTCTCTGTAGAGAGAATTGGTATTTTGGAAGAGAGGGAGAATAGATGGCTTTATTTTCTGTGAACGTGGATATATTTATTTTTATTTAACAGCAGAAGAAAGCAGAATAAATACAGATGAGCCTTATCTTTGTGTGTGTTTGCAAGAGAAGGGTTAGATCTG